CTCCTAGATTACTCCTCTACTCAAATCCCTCTCTAGAGGATTCCTGCTGGATACTCTTACTCAACACATGCTCGAAAGCACATCACAGATAACAATAACTCCTAGGCTAAGGCATCACAAATCAGGCCACTCTAGTCCTAACATATGAAATACCTAGCCTATATCTAGCATGCATAATATCTCATAGCATATCTCATAAATATCTCATAATACAAACGTAAGGGTATTTTGGGAAATCACCGTTCGGGCTCTGGCTGATTGTACACACTGTTCCAACTCGTATTCTTTTAGAAACTCTTGCTCGCTTTAGAAAAATCATTTCTTTGAAATTTTTTCTCAAATCCTCAGTTTGAGTCCAGATTTACCCGAAGGCGCATCCGAATCCCTCAAACCAAGGCTCTGATACCAACTTGTAACACCGTAATTTTTCAAACAAAATTTTCGTTTTAAAATCGCATACTTTTCGTAACATATTGTATAGAAATCTCGTTTATTCAAATTACAAAACACAACTCCATTAATAAGCCAGGATCCTCAAAACGTGATTCTTTCTCTGGTGTACAATCAAGTCGGTGCCTTCCCGCGATCCTCTGAGATACCTGAAACACATAACACATAACACGGTAAGCACGAAGCTTAGTGAGTTCCCCAAAATACCACATATAACACATATTAGCCACTCGAGGCTATAACTCCGTGGGCCTACTAGCCCTAACTCTGTGGACCCTCTGGTCCTAACTCTGTGGACCCTCTGGTCCTAACTTTGTGGACCTTCCGGTCCTAACTCTATAAACTCTGGAATACACACATCATAAATCACATAGAAATAATGCAGTGCAACACATCACATACATAGCATACAAGATACTCTGTCACATAACTCTACTTACCACTCAAGGTAAAGTATAGTGAGAAGACTCACCTGACCAGCAGCAAGTAAAGACCCCGCTCCCGGATCTCGAACTAGCCTCCACCTAACACAAGGGATAAATATCTCTAAGTGATACTCTAATCACAACTCTAATGACCGAAGGCTATTCTTCCTCTCTTTAACTCTTTGAAGTGGATAAAAGACCATTTTACCCCTCCATGGTCTCTACTACTTATGTTGATCAAAGCCCCAAAGTCAACAGAAGTCAAACTCGAGTCAACAGTCCATGTTTGACCCGACTCGCCGAGTGCACCCTTGCGACTCGTCGAGTCCACTTACTTTCCTCAGAAATCTCGTGACAGTCCAGCTCAGCTCGTCGAGTTGACCCCCAACTCGTCGAGCTATCGCATGCTCAAGCTCATCGGGACAAACCCTCACTGACTCGTCGAGTCAACTCATGGACTCGACGAGTCCCCTCGGTCTGATTCCTCATTCAGACGTCCAAAGTCAGATCTCTCATTCCAAACCCTAGATCTAGCCCTTTAAGACACCAGAGACACATAAAGTCTCGACCTTTACGTTCATGCATGGCATAAATGCCTCAAAATGCCAAAACAAGCCCTTCTTAAGGTGTTAAGCACAACAACCCTCATTTGGATGAATAAAGTTGGGACCTTTGGACTCTAGGGACCTCACAAGGTCCAGATCTGAGGACTAGGCTTCTAGCTAATCCATTTTACTCAAAGCCCCAAACCAAAGGTGGTAAAAGCCCTAGAACTCCAAACACATGAGATCTAACCAAAATAATGAGAAAGGTGCAGACTTTTACCTTCCTCAGAAGCTCTGGACGATCTATCACTGGATCCAACTTCCCCCCTCTTGATCCTTGCTTGATCTCCTTCTCTTCTTCTCAAATGATGCACTAAAAATCCCAAGATAGCTTCTCTCTCACTTTCTAGCTCAAATGACCTTTAGGGTTTGCTTCCAGGAAAGGGTTGCCGCAAATGAGGCTATAAGTGCCTTTAAATAGGTCCCAAACCCCGGAAATTAGGGTTTCTCTAATCAGTGCCTACTCGGCGAGTCCCTCCTCGGACTCGTCGAGTCCACTCATTAAGTCCACGGGAAAACCCGGCTCGACTCGGCGAGTTGGACCCTCAACTCGTCGAGTCTCTTCTTTAATCACAAGATCAAATTACACGATAATATCCCTGAAAATCCGGATGTTACAGTTTTTGTTAAGTTTTTGTGCGGGAGGACTGAATCTGTAAAGATGTTGTTTTAACTGGGTTGCGGCTCACTTATGTCCAAAGTTTGGAAGGAACATGTGGGTCATACCCGGTTTGGTTTAAGTCTGGTTTTATCCGTGGTTGATCTATTCTGTAACTCGATTGTATATATAGTCTTATGTATGTGTTCATGAAGTAATAATACATACTTTACACATACTGAGCTCTCATTCTCTCTCGTCTTGTGTATAGATAGATTAGGGTTCTTCGTCATTTTAGGGTTTCTTCATTGTTGTTAATCTACTTTCTTTTGAGTGTAGGTTAGATGAGTGATAGTGAGGAAGGTTGTTGAGAGAAGAGTGTTTCTACAGTGAGGTTTACGGTGTAAGTCTTTCTGAAAACCAACTGGTTCTTAATGAAAGAACGGTTGATGTTGTACAAAGCGTGTGTGTTGATGTGTTTGTATTTGTTTTGACAACTTTTAAAAACATTAACAAATTTAATATCTCACAAATATTACATAACTATAATCACTGCTATACAAATTTTAAAATACCTAATAAACTAATCTATATCATAACATAAATAACTAGAAAAGTATATATATTTATAATCTTATTTTAAGATGTAAACAATAATTTTATAACAAACTTTCTATTTCAAGTATAATATTCTAATATAATTTCAAAATCATATAATATTAATAATTAGATTATAAATATTATTTAGAAAAATATAAATGGTTCTCTAATCGGGTAAGTGGCGTATATAACACATATACCATAAACATAAAAATACTAACAATTTTTTTTTAAAGCAAATATTATATCCAGTCCCATTACCATTTTCTATGGCCAATACTGATCCTAAAACTTTTAGGTTCAGTTTTATGGTTTAGATTCGAGAGTAGGGTGTTTAGCGGAGTCCCGAAAGGACGACTTAGCCTAAGGCGAGTCATTTTTTCTATAACCTCAAAAATATTAAGAAAGTAGCTAGGTTGATTAGATAAACCGTTAAATATATGAAGTGGGGAAAAGTTATGAATAACAAAAATACTTGAATTTTTTTTTTTTTGAACTGCAGAAGTAGCAACGTATTTTGAAAGACGGATGGAAGTATGCTAACTCCATAAATCTCTGTCTCTCTCACTCTGTATATGCATACAGATACAGATACAGATACATCCATGTATACATTGAAGGTAGGAGGATATTTAATTTCTCTATCTATCTATATATATCAGTAGCAGTAGCAGAGGGTTGTTGGAGTTTCAAAGAAGACAATGGAAATCATCGGCATGGAGAGGCGGCAACCACCCTTAGAAACCACTTTTCCTCTCACAGCCTCATTCTCTGTCTGAGTCGTAAAACAACAGAAATCCCTAATTTTCACCTGGTTGCTATTTCAACGGTTAAAACCGAACCAGAAAATATTAGGACGAGTTTTGGAAGCCTTCTCCCCACTTCGTATGTTTGTTTTGTCTAAAAAATCATTGGTTTTGGTGTTTTCTGATTGAAGAAAGATACCAAGAAAATGGATGTGTTATTTAACATGAATTTAAAGTTTATTTTTAATGAACGTGTAATTCATGGACTAAAAAGGTAACAGAAAATTTTAATATGGACGAAAAATATATATAAATATTGTATTGTTATGACGCGGCATTTTCACATTTTCTTTTTTCAATAAATCAGGAAAAGATAAACTATGAGTATAAAAGGTCTAAAGAACCCTCGGTTAGGGATGAGTGAATGGGAATACTTGTTATGGAGGCAAGGGTAATCTGGAAATTTTGAATGCAGAAAATTACAGGAAAATACCAAGTCAAATAGTCAAAAAGATATCCATCATTCACCCCCAACCTATTCCACACGGCTACTGACCAGACTTCCAATTTCCACGAGTCCGACGAATACTATCTTATTATATGAGGGCTGGAGGAGATTCTATTTTCTTCATTATAATCATATCTCTTCCTTATTCCATCACCGGCAATGGCTACCACTCGCCACCTCTCTATCCTCTCTTTTTTTCACTCTAATCCTATTGGTTCATGCCAGATTAAATCTCCACCCAACTGACCATGAAGCTCTGTTGGAAGTCTACAAGGATTTGGGTGTCTCAAGTGGCACAGATAACATTTGCAACGCCGCCGGAGTATTTTGTGAGCGGAGGATCTCCAACAACTCATATGTACTCCGGGTAACCCGTATTGTTTTCAAGCCTCGCCGCCTGAGAGGCTCTATTTCTCCTGCAATTGGGAAGCTCTCGGAGCTTAAAGAGCTCTCTATACCAAACAACCATCTTGTGGACCAAATCCCAACTCAAATCACCGATTGCCGGAAACTCGAAGTTCTCGACCTTCATAGCAATAGGCTGTCAGGGAAAGTCCCCGCCGGATTGTCTTCCCTCGTCCGTCTCCGGGTTCTAGATCTGTCCTCTAATAAGTTCTCCGGCGATCTGGATTTCTTGAAGTATTTCCCTAATCTTGAAAAGCTTTCCCTTGCCAATAACATGTTCGTCGGGAAAGTACCAGCCTCCTTGAGGTCTTTCAGAAACCTCCGATTCTTCAACATCTCCGGCAATAGTTTCTTGGAAGGCCCAATGCCGACAATGAAGCAATTCGAATCTCCATCGGAGGAGTACAGAACGGAAACAAGAACCTCGTTCCTAGACGTTATGTCTTTGCGGAATCAAATAACACTTCTTCACCGGTAAGAAATCAAACGACAAACAGCGGTTCTAGATTCGATAATCTCCAAGCTCCGGCGCCATCTCCGACAGTTGAGCCAAGCAAAAAACATAAGAGCAAGACGAAGAAAATCATACGTTGGGCACTTGGGTTTTTAGCAGGAATCATAGCAGGAATTATATGCGGAACCATCGTCTCAATACTCTTTAAAATGATTTTGAATAAGATCAAAGGCACACCGAATGATTCCGGGCCTGCCATTTTCAGTCAACTTATTAAAGCCGAAGAACTCGCCTTTCTTGAGAAAGACGACGGAGTTGCATCCCTACAAATCATCGGAAAAGGTGGGTGTGGAGAAGTATACAAGTGCGAATTGCCAGAAAGCAAAGTCAAAACAATTGCCATTAAGAAGATCATACAACCTCCAAAGGATGCCACAGAGCTCGCCGAAGAAGACACAAAGCTTCTCAACAAGAAAATGCGACAAATCAAATCAGAAATCCAAACCGTCGGCCAAATCAGACACCGGAATTTACTTCCATTATTAGCTCATGTTTCCCGGCCAAATTGTCACTACCTAGTGTACGAGTTCATGAAGAACGGCAGTTTACAAGACATTTTACAGCAAGTCAAAGAAGGTAGCCGGGAACTGGATTGGCTCGCGAGACACAGAGTGGCGCTCGGAGTAGCTGCCGGACTGGAGTATCTTCACATGAGTCACACTCCTCGTATAGTTCACAGGGATTTAAAACCAGCCAACGTCCTTCTTGATGATGACATGGAAGCTCGGATAGCAGATTTTGGGCTTGCGAAATCAATCCCAGATGCCGATACTCACATGACGAGTTCAAATGTCGCCGGAACTTTAGGATACATCGCGCCGGAGTATCACCAGACTATGAAATTTACCGATAAATGTGATATCTACAGTTTTGGGATATTGTTGGCAGTTCTGGTGATGGGGAAGCTTCCTTCGGATGAGTTTTTTCAGCGAACATCTGAGATGAGTTTGGTGAAATGGATGAGAAATGTGATTACTTCTGAGGATCCAAAACAAGCGATTGATTCGAAGCTTTTGGGGAATGGTTATGAGGAACAGATGCTTCTTGTTCTTAAGATTGCTTGCTTCTGTACCATGGATAATCCGAAAGAAAGGCCCAACAGTAAAGATGCCAGGTTGATGTTGGCTCAGATTAATCATTAAGTATCCAATGTGGAAATTAGCATCAACATATGTTAGTTTTCTTATCAAGTGTTTATAATTATATATAGTTGTTTCATGTACCAAAACTTGTATTAATTTTTATAGTAAATGTTTTAAATGTTTCCATGTGAGGAAATATGTAACAAGTTTTATATCAAATGAATAATTTTCTCTAAAAGTTTGATATCTAAAATGGATCTCAAATATGTATGTATGAATCCTGAAAAAGATTTATATCAAATCGATCTTTTTTCTCATAAAGATTTTGTTTTCTTTGGTAAACAAAGCAAGGAAGACTTGGTAAAAGTCGTCTTTCTTCTAAAGTCATTCTATCATAATTATGAGGATATTAATTGTAAGGCCACCGTTGACCCACAAAAAACGAAGTGAAAACACACCACTTGATGATTAACAATCATCTCATAATCCGTTTCGTTTCCTCTCATTAGTGGAAAGGGAAGCAATTTAATATCAAAATCATAATATATCACAAACTGACTCTTGAAAGATGCTTATGAACTTTTTACAATAATTAAAAACTTAAATCGGGTTGACATTGGTTAGAGACCAGGTTGACATTGGTTGGGAGTTAGAAAATTTTAGACCTGCTCCTAGAGGTGGTGTCGAGCAGACCCAATGGGGATAATTTTATTTCCATGATGCAGGGCCTTCAGTTGGAGTCGCGTTCGGATAGATTGGGTTGGGTCCTTGATGTCTCACATATTTTTTCAGTTTCGTCTACTAGATCCTTTCTAGATGGCCGTATGTAGTTTTCGGGAGGGGCAGAGACTCGATGGAATAATTGGATTCCCATAAAAATCAATATTCTTATTTGGAGAATTCGGTTACATAGTATCCCCACTCGAGATAGACTTTCTAAAAGAGGAATCACGGTGGATTCCATCTTCAGTGACGGAGCTTGAAGTGTTATTTTGGGGGGAGGGGGGGCGAAAATAAAATATATATAAAAATTGAGGAGAAGGGGGGGCCAAAGTCAAAATTTCTAGTTTTAGGCTTAATATGTAAAAATTTTAATAGTTAAGGGTTAGTTATGAAAAAAAAAACAGGGGGGGGGGGGGCACAGCCCCTCCTGGCCCTACACAAGCTTCGTCCCTGTCCATCTTGTGTCCTGTGTGTAATCGTAATGTTGAGACGGTTGATCATCTTTTTTCTAGATTACAGTGCATTCTCTTCTTTCTTGGCCAAATTCGATTCCTTTGTGGGATGGTCAACGAAAGGTGTTTGAAGCTGTGATTTTTACTACTTTTTGGTATTTGTGGAACTTCCGCAATAATATGGTTTTTGGCAAGATTCTTCCTAGGAAATCGAACATTTTTGATGATATTGTTCATAGGGCATTTTTTTCGATTTCTGATAGGTGTAGGAAATCAAAGTTTGGATGGCCTTCTTGGCTGCATAATCTAACTTCTGCTACTTTATTGATGTAATTGTTCTTTTCTAGCTTCTTGCTAGATTTTTAATAAAATTTCTGCCGTTCAAAAAAAAAAAAAAAAAAAACTAAAATCGGGTAGCAAATTTTTTGCATAAACTAATTTTCGGTGCAATTTTATGTTAAACTAGCCGATTAAACCAAATTCGAAAGCAAACCGGGAGCATAAAAGATGAGAAGTGAAATTGATTGTGAAGTGAATTGAAAATGAATTAGAAAAGGGAATAAATTACCGATTGCGATTTTGCTCCAAATCATTTTATAACTTACTAGTTTATAACACGTGAGAACCACAGTTACAAAATTAATTAAATAAATTATTACAAAATTAATTAAACTTTCATATTAAAAATTCAAAATTATTAATTAAGAAATATTTTCTAATTATATAAAATTATAATCGTTGATTTAAATAAATACGTGAAATTATATCATCTTATAATATATATTAACTTTTTTTTAATTTTTACTCTAATGTTTTAATTTAATGTAATTAGAGTGGAAATTTAAAATTTAAAATTTTGAAATGAAGAATCAATAAATTGACAAGTGATATGACATTAATTAGGGGACCTAATACAATGACACGTGACAAAAGAAAAATAAAACTATTCTTTTATTAGAATAGGGAGATAAGTGTTCCGATGTGTAATTCTCATTGCCTTCAAAGTGATACAATATACAGATATATACAATACATACAAAGACATGGGTTAAACCTAAGTGAGCTAAATACAATGGGCCATATATATATATATATATATATATATATATATATATATATATATATATATATATATATATATATATATATATATATAATACATACAAATATAAATACGTCTAACAACCCCGACAGTCAGTACTACGATGAGGGTAGCCCTTTGGTGAAGATATTCACATACTACGACGAAGATGGAACATGTAGAACCCAAACCTGATCCATAGCAACTTTATCTCTGACGAACTGAATGTCAATATCGATGTGCTTCCAACGTTGATGTTGAACTGAGTTAGAGGATACGTATACAACACTAACATTATCAAAATAAACTAGAGTAGCCGTGAGAGGAGGATATAACAGCTCATGTAACAGGTTGCGAAGCCAACACGTCTCTACTACAACAACATTCACAACGGTACTCAACATCGACACTGGATCGAGAGATGGTACCTTGTCTCTTGGATGAGCAGGAAAGAAGGTTCTGCCCGAGAAACACACAGTATCTGGATGTGGATCGTCGAGAAGTGGGACAGCCGCCCAGTCTGTATCAGAGTAAGCAACCAAACCACGAGAAGATGACGCATAGATTTGTAACCCATGATGAAGGGTACCACGAATATATCTGAGAATGTGTTTGAGAGCCGAGAAGTGAGGCTCTTGAGGATCATACATAAATAGACAGATCTTGCCGAACAACATAGCTGATATTTGACCGAGTAAAAGTTAGGTATTCTAATGTAACACCCTGTTTCAGATCGTTCTGTGATTCGGTTATGGGTAGGCTTTGGGACTTTATAGAAGTTATGTGTGGGCCTTATTGGAAGATGATATTGTTGGCAATGGGATCAAGGCCTGGGAATTGTGTATTTGGACCCGAGGTTGGAAAGGGGAAAGTTATGTGTAGGACAGCTTGTGAGGGTTAAAGTTATATGTTCGACATGTGGTGAGCCAACGTAATAAGATAGATTTGTAGAGCTTTTCAAGACCTTTCCGTGGATATAAAGAACGTCGAACACGGAGTTTGAAACGAAGAAGTTATGATCGTTTGAAGTTGAAGTGGATTTTGGGAAACTGAGTGTCATGACGTGAGCCATAAATGGTCACGACGTGACAAAGCAAGAAGGGTCGCGTATCAGGACCTTACTCACGGCGTGAGCCATATATGCTCACGGCGTAAAAGCTGCTACAGCCCAAGCCCATGTAGTTTTAGGGTTTCCTACGCATTTAAGCCCCTTAACTCAGTTTTAGGGTTCATTTTTCAGCCTCCACCTCCCTCCAACTCAGAAAAAACCCTAATCATTTCCCTCTTGGTGGTTTTGGATCTATTTTGGTGTTTTGGGGTGGCTAGAAGATGACGAAGAAGAAGAAGAAGAAGAAGGTGTCCTAGAGTGTTGGTCCAGCAAGGGAGCTTCATCATCATCATCTTGTGCATATTTCTGGATCATTATGAGTTTTAGCATCGGTTGTGTGGCTGGGAGCTGAGGTTTAGTAAACCTCGTGATTCAGGTGAGTTCCCTTCACTATACTCGTGGGTCGAAGGCACCAATGCCCACCCACTAGACTATGTTGGTAGGATAATAATTGTCTTTGTGAAAATTTCATGTATTGCCTGTATGTGTTTCATGTCTCTGTGACTCTTACTAATGTGATTATATGCTAGTTGTAGGGGGTGAAATAGACCCGATACCGGTTGAAAGAGACCGAAGGGGTTGAAATATACCTAGTACCGGTTGAATGAAACCGAATGGGTTGAAATATACTCAGTACCGGTTGAAAGAGATCGAAAGGGGTGAAATAGACCTAGTACTGGTTGAAAGAGGCCGAAGGGGGTGAAATAGACCTAGTACCGTTTGAAAGAGACCGACGGGGTTGAAAAATACACCAAGTACCGGTTGAAAGAGACCGAAGGGGTTGAAATATACCCAGATATGTTTGAATGTTATGTATGTATGGTATAGGGTATTTTGTGGGAGCTCATTAAGCTTTGTGCTTATAGTTTTCAGTTTATGTTTCAGGTACCTCCAGTTCGAAAGGGAAGGGCCCGGCTTGATCGCACCACATCTACACATGTTTTCCGCTTTTACGTGATTTTGGGATTATACTCTGATATTGTTACACTATGGCACACTTTTGGTTGTTTGACATGGTTACTGGATGTATTGAAATGAATTAAAAATGAAATTTTTATCTGAAAATTTGCTGATGTTACATGTAAGGTGTAACATCCATAAAATTCAAGCAAATTTAAAACTTTTTCAAGCATCCAAAAACCATTAGTTATTACAAAATGTTTTCAAAATAGTTTCATATAAGAGAATCCCAGAAATCAAAGTCATAAAATGTGAGGAGGAGCACGATCAAGCCTTCGCCTTCCCACAATCATCCGAAGTACCTGAAACAAAATCAACAACTGTAAGCCCGAAGCGTAATGAGTTCCCCCAAAAATACCAACGCCATACAAACCAGAACAATATCATAACAAACATCATGCATATAGAGTCTACAGTATGACTGGACCGCCCTCACCGGGCCTTCAGTTTATCTGGCCCACTCTCAGAACCTTCATCATGTCTGGTCAGCCCTACCGGGCCTTCAGCTTGTCTGGACTGTTCACCGGGTCTTCGGCCAGACTGGTACGCCCCGATAGGCCTTCGGTCTATCCGGGCCGCCCTCGGTCTGTTGGCCTAGAGCACAAAGCAGGAACGCCTCAACCCACCCCTCAATCACACAATCAACACATAAATATCATACGCTAGCTAGCATGTACAGAAAGTCATACAGATCTAACAGATCACTAATCATATCATCATCCTATATACCTGGATA